CTCACCTCCACTTAGAGGTAAGAGTTCCAAACTTGTTTTAATCACCACTGAACCTCCCTACTACTTAATAGTGTAGACTTTTTTTTTTTTTTCCTAAAGCTAATTTCTCAATCAATGGTAGGGATCTACTCCCTTTCTATTTCTCAATCAGCCTGGCAACTGTTTAAACCACTTCCTCTCTATACTCAGCTTCTTGTCTCTTAGGAATGGGCCCCAGAGGATACAAATATTCTGACATCTCCTTTTGGAATTAACCTTCAGTCCTTTCCATTCACTTCCAGGTATTCCCCGCTCCTCTTCTTCAGAGCATCCACCTTGCCACTCAGGTCTCGCCCCGCGCCTCTTGACCTCTATCCCCATCACTCCACTGAAATCAGTGTTCCTGAGGCCATTTCTGTGACATCACACAGTGACACCTTGCTTGCTAAGTCGTAACTGTTCATTTGTATTTTCTACTAGAGATCCTTAAGAACTCTGTGCTCATCATCGTGGTAGCTCCAAGACCCAGTACGAAAAGCACGGCAATGTGCTACATCAATGGTTCAGAAAAGTTAAAACTATTTATAGGGAGTTTCTAGCTGGGGCTAGACATCTGTGCCAAGGAGTTCATAAGGCATGTTATTCTAGGGATAGGGACAGGATCCACTACTTTCAATTTTACTCACCTCCAGAAATTTTGTACCCATTTAACCTAAAATAGCTATTTACAGTATATCACAGAACAACAAAGTCCTAATCTGGACCAACATAAATTTGCCAACTAAGAATTTAAAAAATAAAAATAAAAAAACAAACTCTGTCATGTCACAAAAGATTTATCCTAATATATAAAACTGACATGGATTTAATCTTAAATTTCAAAGTTTTCCCAAGACAGCTGACAATCTCTCATTGATTTAAAATATGATTTTCAAATACAACAATTTGTGAAATAAAATTTGCTACATTGTGATATTTTTTTCAAAATTTTTGTCAATCTGGGGATCTATATTTGATATCACAGCAGAAAGTAGAAGTCACATCTCCTACTGCTGTCACTTTACTGTTTTTGGGAAGACTGAAGTAATATGCACTGTTTTGTGCAACTGGAAATATTGGGAGAGGACCAAGGAAAACCACTTCTCCACAGAGACAGGATGGAAGCACACAAGCAGCACACTGGAGCAGGGGAGGGTGTTGGGGCTTCTCAATGGGTACTACCCTGTATGGCAGCCCGAAGCACAATCTGAGAACTTGTTACAAATGCAAATTATTTGGGACTCATACCTCAAATCTAAAGTATTGTAAATTCTAGGGGCAGACTTTGCAATCTGTAAACAAGCCTTGCAAGTGACTGCAATGTGATCCAAACAAGAGCCTGACAGCTGACCAGCACCAGCTCATGCCTAGAAATGCACGGGGCAGGGTCCTTGGGGCTAAGACAGTTTAGGAATTAACTGGTAAGCACTTCTGAATTAAAAGTGAAGTTGGTCTGAAGGTTGTGGGTTATTGTTAAACTGAATTAAGAGTGAAAACTTCGCTCAAACCAGAACCACTGCTTTACAGGAGTCTGAGAATCAGTTCTTTGTTCAGGATGAACATTTACTATCTTTCAAGACTGTGAAAGTGAACACAACTGTCCTTTAAGACACAAGTATTTTGTAACTGGGTAATGTTCAGGGAGGAGATTGTGTGTGAGACTGTTGTCCTTCTTAAAATTGTACTTCCTATTTGGCCTCATCACAGGAGAGGATTTTTTCCCTCGTGTGTGAGTTCATTCTTATAGTTGGAAGGGTTCTAAAAAACTTCAGGTCAAGAAAACTGCAGACACTTGCCTTTTAAAACCCAAGATCGTATGCTATTACTGGGTTGAGATGCCTGGTCCCAGATACAATACTGGTGACTCCTCTCTTCACTACAAGAATTTATCAGCTTCCAAAGACAGACCATGTGCGAGACTGCAAGGCCTGCTGAGGAGCCAGTGGCCAGAGAAGACCACATTCCATTTTCTAACTATATTCAGACCTCCTGGATAGCTCAGGCCTACCACATGCTATGTTCTTTCCTGGATAAGTGGGCAAAAGAGTTCATATGATCTTCAACTTGTTTCCAGTATACCAAAAAATATTTCATGATTCATTCACTCAGAAGAGAGGATTCGTTCACTCTGAGATTCTGGTCAGGATCACGTTGGCTATCAGATGTAACAGGTCTTACTGTATACAGAGAAGAACAAGTTCACAGTAGTGCACAAGCCTCTGTCTTCATAATCGTACCAAGGAAACTTTTACCCGCCCCCCAATATTCCTCCGTCCTCCAGACCAAAAGAGCCAAGAAGAGAAGAAGCCAAGAAGAGCCACAAAAGAAAAAGACACTTCTGGGGTGTTTCTGAAAGGAGGGTAAATCTGTTTAGACAGTACTTTTTAGCTAGGCCAAAGTGAGAAGCTGTCTAATAAACCAAGGGCATGTCACATCTGCTAAATTAACGGGCACTTGTCGAGGAAAAGATCCTCATGTCCAAAATACAAGCCACAGTCTTTAGATAAGGAACTCCTTCTGCCAGTCAGTAAGAAACAGACAGGAAATACTAAAATGACAAGAGTACTTCAATGAAACCTAGGCATGTAATGAATTTAAATAACTTAGTCATACACGTCAGAAATAAAATATATTGAAACAAAATGCCTTATTTTATGCATAGCATATAGTATACAACAGAAGTGAATGCCTATGTCCACCAAAATACATACAATAATAGTCATATTAGTAAAAAATTAAAACCCTAAATGTTTAAAATAAAATAAAAGGGATAAGGCTGGGAGATAGATCAGCAGCATAAGCATCTGACTAGAAAGTGCAAGGTCCTGAGTTTGATCCCCAGTACAAAATCATCGTCGTCGTCATCATCATCATCATCATCAGCAGCATAAGCATCTGACTAGAAAGTGCAAGGTCCTGAGTTTGATCCCCAGTACAAAATCATCGTCGTCGTCATCATCATCATCATCATCATCATCATCATCATCATCATCAAATAATAAAAGGGATGTGATACATTCTAACAAAGGAGTATTACACAACAATGAAAAAGAACTACAACTACCACCAAATGAATAAATAACACATATAATATTCAGTGAAAGAAATGAGCTATAAAAGTATATCTTTTTGGTGTTCAAGTACAGGTAAAATTAATCTATAGAGATAGAAGTCAGCAAGGTGCTCATCCTTGGGAGAGGTGAGTATAATGTCAAGATGAAGCAAGCTAAAGACTTCTGGGATGGTAGAAATGTGCTATATATTCAGTCTGGATGGTGGTTACCTGGAAATCACATGCATATGGGAAAATTCTGCCTAAATGTGTAGCCGTTCTTCCCTTAAAAATTTTTTATGATTATAAACACATGCTAACTATAAAACTGAGAAAATATGATAAAAAGGAAAAAAATGAGAGGAATTCCCAATCATACAATGGGGAAACTCAGCAATGAAAGGTTGATATACATCCTATGTAACGGACTTTTTGCAACATGTAGCCCAGAAGAGAGTAATTCCTATTAAAAGCAATCACTTCTCAGTACTGACTTCCCAGGATTACACAAGTCAGTGCTTCCCTGTGTTCAACTACCTGCAAACATGACTGCCCGGGTACATCAAGAGAGCAACAAGTAACCTTGTCTTGTCTGTATTCAAATAAAACATGGAAAAAACCCCAAAACTTTCATGAATTCACTGACCTCCACCATCTACCCAACAGTTTACTAAAATTTCACACCTGGAACCTAAAAGGAAATCAAAACCTCCTTGAGTCCAGTTTGTAAATCTAAATCTAATCAAAAGCAAACATAATTTCTAAAAATATCTTCTAACTTGCATTAGATCAATCACATAGCCTATATTGGCATTTTCTTAGGTTAACTACCTTCATGTAGCCTGTATCTATGACAAAGAAATGGCTTTAGATCAAATCCTTTGACTTTATTCTGTCTTGACTGCCTCATCAGAAAGAAATGTTAGAATTTAAAAGGAAAATGAAAATAAGCCAAAAGAAAATAGGTAACTTCTTAAATCAAACATTATCCTCAAGGGAGTGAAGTAGTAAACTATGGATATATATTTTATACTACTGATAGTTAATGAATATTATAAACGTAGTTTAACAGAATACAGACTGTACCAGCTTGCCTAGATTTGAATTGCATCTCTGTCATGGCCCTCATTTCTTCATTTGTAAAATGAGAATAACACAACTATCTGCCATATGAAGTTGTAAGATTCAAGTAAGCTAACATGTCTGCAGTGCATAGGATGGCACCTGGAAGATGATAATAAATAACTCACAAAGAAAATAGGTAACCGAGAGTTAAATTTTATTGTTAAGAGCGGTCTGATATCATTCTCCAAGTAAGAAAACTAGAGAACTCAGAAAATTTCCTCACTGGAAATAATCACCAAGATTAATATCTACAGAACTGGGTGTGGTAGCATACTCCTGTAATTCCCACACTCAGAAGACTTAAGACAGAAAGATCACTGAGTTCAAGACCAGCCTGGAGGCTATAAAAGTGAGCATAGGGCCTGCCTGAATTGCGTAGCAAGGCCCTGTCTCAAAAAAAAAAAATAATAATAATATCTAACTAATCTTTTATACCAAGTATTTCTGAACAGTGATTCTGTATTGTCAAATCCATTTAAAATTCAAATACCAGTTTTACTGATGTTGAATTTAAATACCTAGGTTCAGAAAGTTAAAGGTTTATCTTTCTCACTTAGGATTAAAATTTCTAATACTGATTATAAAATAAGCCATTCAAGTTTTTAGAGAATACTTGGTGTAAGTGATCTTAAATAGCAAGCCCAAAGAAGGTTATAAAAAAAGAAAAAAAAAAAAATTCAACAACAGATCCTATACAATTATAAATACTTAAAATAAGATTAAGTAAAATATTTACTTCTTCGGGCTCTTACAGTTCGCCCTATATTAGTTCCAGCCCAGCATATACAGGCTGTCCCTCCCACACTGTGCACCAGAGTAATCACTCTTGGTCTTCAAATGCAACTCTAAGGAGAGCTGAGCCTTTCTCTCTTCATATGCTGTATATTCCTGCTTCAGTTCACTAACAGTTGTTTCATTCAGTAAGTTAGAGCTGTGCTACCAAACAAACATATAATGTTAACATATAGCGTGAGCTATATAAAGAATTCTAAACCTTCCGTAGCCACTTTACAGACTTCTGAGAAGTACAGATCTAGAATCTAGACCTTTGCTATACAGAGCATGATCCACCATCAGCAGCTGCAAAATGCAGAAACTCAAACTCATCTCAAACCTCCCAGGACAGGGACACCGGGATAGGGATTTTATTTGTAATGTCTGCATAATCATACTTATCACCTAACACTGAGACTGGGGCAAAATTTATCTCTTACCTCTACACAAGCAAGTAACATCTAACAGTATGAGTGTGTGTTGGCATCATTCCAGTTTATCACCAAAGTCACAGTACTAACATACCTACCTGTACAGTCTTTTTTATTCTATGGGAAGGACCTGGATACTCTGGAGAATACAAATCTGTGAGGAATAATGAGTTGATTAATGTTGACTTTCCCAATCCAGATTCACCTAAGAGGGGGAAAACAACAGGGGAAAAAATTTGTCAAACAAAGCCACTTCATCGTATGAATGCAAAAACCAAACTTGATTCACTCAAGCACTCAATCTATCAAGTAATTGACACTAGAATATGCAGTTCAAAGACTCCCTGCCAAAGTAAGTATTTTGCACTCAGTTTCTTAAATTAGATTCGCATGTACAAGAATTATTTTATAACTGCTTTAGTTTTACCATATGTGTTCTTTAAAAGAATGTATCTTGCCAGGGAGATAGCTCAGTGGCATAAGTGCCTGTCTGGCAAGCACAAGGTCCAGAGTTTGATCCCCCATACTAAAAGGAAAAAAAAAAAAGAATGTATCTAATAAAGTAATTTATACTTTGAATAGTAATGTATTCCTAGACACCAAAGTCAGTCATGGGAAAAACTTTAGTTGAAGAATTATACGTTACTGCTTCTGTGAAATAAAAAAACTAAGTATAAACCTTCATTATAAACAGTGAATGACCAAAGCAAGAAATTATGCAGCTATAAAAAGCAGGAATCATAATTACAAAGAAAATTTATCACTCACACACACACACACACACACACATATTTCTAATTTATTTTCCTATGTACTAATCATCTTAAAGAAAAGGATGCTTCTCCATGAACCTGAAAAGCCTCTACCTCAAGCAAGGAGGCACCAACAGAAGCAGTCTGGGTATGATTTTCAACACTTACCCTTCATTGACCTTCCATGCCTAGTCTATAGCACATCAATTATACTGCCCATTTAATACAAGGTTTAAGCAAATTATAAATCATAATAATATAGTTTTGTTTTTGTTTTTTAAGACAGGGTCTCACTACATAGTTCAGGCTGGCCTTGAATCACTATGTAGCCTACACTGCCTTGAACTCCCAGCAATCCTCTCACCTCAGCCCTAAGTGCTGGGACTGCAGGTGTACACCACTATGCCCACCTAAAGCATTTGCCATTACTAGTTCATTTATAATAATAAGCACGTTTAACTTCTAATAGTTGCATGCCTAGCAAAATTCTTGTATTAGCTCTCAAATGAGGTAAGACCATGTCTTCTGTGCTTCACATGGGCCTCAAGGGGCAGCAGCCTACTTACCAATTCCTTCCCTCAACCACATTTGAACCTCTCTAGGGTCTGGAAGGAAGGCTGATCCTGTCTTATCTAACAGAAGTAGTAGGGACTAGGTATAAAAACTGCACAGAAACTAAAGTCCATTGCCTGCGGCCACAGGTCATGGTACAGCGCTAAACAGACTCTAAAAGGACCCAACAAAATGAGATTAAGTCCTATTTTTGTACTATTACTGTATGTAAGTATGTATGTATATGTATGTATGTACGTATGTATTTGGTACAAGGTCTCTCTATGCAGCTCAGACTCATAGTAATCCTCCTGTTTTCAGACTTCCCAGCACTGGGAATACAGGGGTGTACCACCACACCCAGACTCCGTATTGACTCACCATGCCTAGGGGCTGCGCCAGCACAGCATATGGCAGCAGGGATCAAACCTCGGTCTCTGCTCTTGCCTAAGCAAGTGCTTAGTCCACTGAGCTATCTCACCAGCTCTTAAATATTACTATATTTAAAGGCATGCACACATACAAGAAGACACACACAGGGAAAATAAAATGAATGGTTACAGAAACCTGCAGGCTTTCACCTTATACTGACCACCAGGTTCAGAAAAGGCCCCGCCAATCACAGAGGACTGTCTCAGGCCAATAATGGGGAAAAAGAGTGATCACACAACTATAAGATATCCAGAAAGCAAATTAAAAAATGGCAAAAGTTAGTTCTTTCTTATTAATATTCATATGTAAACCAAAGTCAATATGGATTTTGAAAAAAGCAAGATCCAATTACATCCTATCTATAAAAGACTCACTTTAGAGCTAAAGACAAAAAGTAGAAAGCAGACTGCGAAAAAACACTCCATGTAAATTATAAGCAGAGAAGTAGGACAGTGGTGATAGATAAACCAAATGTTAAAAAAAAAAAAAAAAAAAAAAATGTTGGAGCCAGGGAGATAGCTCAGTAGAAAAAGTGCTTGCCTGGCAAGCACAGGGTCCTGAGTTCAATCCCTGGTACCACAAAAAAAAAAAAAAAAACCTATTAGGAGTTAAACACAACTTTGCATATTGATAAAAGGACTGATGGGTATTGGGAAGTAGGAAGACAATGTTCAAAAGAGAAGGGGAACAAGGGAAGGAGTAGAGGGAAGGGGAAGAAAAAGAAAAAAGGGTTGAACAGAGGGGAAGAGAGAGAACGGAGAGGAAAATAAAAGGATCCATTCACCAAATGATAAAATAATGATAAACCTACATGCACCAAACATCAGAACTTCAAAACATGTGGCACAATGATAGAACCGAAGGAAAAAACAGTTCTATAACAAGTAGAAATTATTTGGACTTCAATTTCAGTAACAGAACCAGACAGCAAACAAGGGAAAAAAGACTCAAACATTATAAGCCCATTGTCCCTAAAAGACACAGACAAAAACACTGAATCCAATGCAGTGAATACAGGCTTTCCTCAAACACACACTTTTTTTTTTGGCTCCGAATGCCTTCAGGGCAGGTTTGGCTGGCTTGAGTTGTGGGGATCAAACCACAGCAAGCTGAGCCTGACTGCTTTGTTGAAGCGGCCACTTGAAGAACTGAGCTAAGGGGCAGCCCCCGCCCCAACCATGAGCTAAGGGGCAGGCCCCCAGCTAAGGGGCAGCCCCTCCACTTTTCAAGAATGACTAAAACAAGTCTTAATAAATATAAAAAGACTAAGAACAAATTGTATGTTTCTATCACAATGAAAAGAAACGAAGAATGAAGACAAGAAAACCTACAAATTAGGCCAGCCAGATAGCTCAGCAAACTAAAGCACATGCTTAGGCAGAGCACAGAGGCCGGGGTTAGATCCCCTGGAACGCAGTGAGACAGCAATTGAGAATGGGTGTGGTGGCACATGCCTGTAATCCCAGCTCTTAGAGGCTGAACAAAGGCAGATTACTACGAGTCCGATATACATAGTGAGACCCTGTAGAACCTATAGACCCTGTACTAAATACAAAAACAAACAAAGAAAAACCCCTACAAATATGTAAAAATTAATCAAAACAAACAAACAGAAGTCAAAGAATTAAAATACTATCCTTAGTGAAAAATCATACCAAAAATTGTGGGATTCAACAAAGCAGTACAAAGACAGAAAATTTATAGTTGTAAATGGTTACATAAAAATAATGCTATCAGGCTAGAGAGACAACACAGCGGCATAAGCACCTGCCTGCAAGTTCAAGGTCTTTAGTTCAATCCTGATACCAAAAAGTAATAATAATCATAATTACCACCATTATCTGACTGAAAACCTACCTTTACAACCTAGGACCTAGAACAAGGACAAATTAAACCCAAAGCCAGCAATACCAAGAAAATAAGACTAGAGAACATATATATAAGGGCTAAAAAAATAGAAAAAAAACAAGAAAACAAAGTTTTCAGCAAAGATCAAGAAAATTAACAACCAGATAATAAAACGATGCAGATTACTACAATTAGAAATAAAAGTAAGGATATTACTATTTTTATAGTGATCAAAAACTTTAAGAAACATTCGCTGCATATTTTATCAAGCCTTATACATTGACAATAAACCATCCAAAAGAGAAACCAAGGGAAAGGAAGATCTTTCGAATAGTGATCTAAAAATTAAAACACACAGAAATAAATTCACCCAGCAAGGCAAAAGAAATGAGAACTGTAGCAATTATAAAAGACACTGAAAATAACACAAATAAGTAGAAATAATCCATGTTCAAGGACTGAAAAATACTAATATTCATAAAATGGGCATGATAACCCAAAGGGATCTACAGAGGTAACTTAATATCAAAATCACAATGACATTTTTCACAGACATAAAGAAATCCTAAAAGTCATATGGAACCACAAAAGACCCCATACAACAAAACAATCTTAAAAAAAATGAATATAGTCAGAAAGATTACACTACCCAATTTACACTTAAATTTATGAAGAATTCATTTTCAATGAAGATGTCAAAAACACTTAACTGGGCAAGGATAGTCTCTTCAATAAATGAAGTAAGGAAAACTGAATATAAACATGCAAAATTATAAAATTACATCCATTTCAAATTGTATATAAAAATTAACTCAAAATGAATTAAAGATTTAAACATAAGAACTAAAACTGTGGATCTACTAGCAGAAGACATAGTGGAAAAGTTCCATGACATGTTTTTTTAAAAACATGATCCCTAAAAACACAGCCAACAAAGGCAGAAAAAGATCAAAGGAATTATATGAAAATCATACATCTGGTAAGGGCTAATATCCAAAGTATAAGAAGGAGTCAAATAACTCAAAAGCAAAAAAACAAAGGGGGAGAGCATAGCTCAGGGGTGTGTCTGCCTGGCAAGCGCAAGGTCCTGAATTTGATCCCCAGTACCACAAAAAAAAAAAAAAAAAAATCAAAAATAGGTAGAAGCTGGGTGTGGTGGTACATTCTTCTAATCCAAGGACTTGAGAGGCTGAGGCAGGAGGACTGCTGCAAGTTTGAGGCCAGCCTGTGCTACACAGTGAGTGCTATGCCTGCCTAAATTACATAGCAAAATACAATCCCCAAAAACAAAAAATAAAAGGCAAAGGACCTGAATAGAAATAGACATTTCTTAAAAGAAGACATATAAATGGCCAACAAGTGTATGAAAATGCTCAAGCACAGTAGTCAACAATTAGGAAGTACACATTAAAACCATAAATTTCTACCACCTCACATTTTTCAGGATGTCTATTAAAAAGAAGGTCCTGAAAGAACCTTCTTTCATAGATAACGAGTGTTGGCCAAAACATAGAAAAATGCAAACCCTTGCACAGTAGCAGAATATAAATTAGTACAGCCATTATCAGAAGCAGTATGGCGATTCCTTTAACAATTAAAATATGGATGAACCTGGACACAT